AGGGCAAGGCTGAGGCTGGACCCCCGAGGCCCTAGCCAGGGAGAGGGAAGGCGCCAGGTGTGGGATGACCCCTGTAGCTGAGGGACCTAATGTGGTTCAAACAGCTGCCAGGCCTAGCTGGGCGACCTCAGGCAAGTTGCCTAATTCCGTAAAGCCTGGTTCTCTGTTAAATGGCCATCATAATGCGAGAGGCCCCTCCCCCACAGCAAGTGCTCGATAAACGGCAGTGGCATGCCAGGTTACACACAGGGCTTCGCAGGCATGCCCCAGGACAGGGCTGGGGGAGACTGGCCCTCACTGCCCACCTGAACCTCAGAGGTGCCCTGTCCCTGGTCTCCCCAGCCCCAGCCCCCTCCTTCTCTTCCCCCAACCAACCCCAGCCTCCTGCTGAGCCACTCCACTGCCCTGCTCCCACAACCCCCCTCCAGGCCTTTGCACACTCCCTTCCCTCCGCCTTCAACGTTCAGCTCCAGGCTACTCCTCCATGAAGCCTTCCCTGGTTGTCTCCTCATTCCTATGGCACTTTGTACCTTCTGGTAACATCCCTTCCCGCCAGGGAGGGCCTGGCAAGTTCTGCCCTTCTTACTGGCAGGGACCAGAGCTGGTTCACCCCCATCCCAGACTTCGACCACAGCAAGGGCCGAGGGTGGAGAACTGTGCTGCACAAATATCTGTAGCACCAGATTGGGCCGCGGCACCCCCCCCCCTCCCCCCGGAGGCTGTGTCCCCTTGCTCAGCTCCTTGCTTTCTTTGGGGCTGGAAGAGGAAGAGTCGAAAAGAAAGGCCGAGGGACGGCCTCCATCCCAGCCCACCCGGATGGCTCCCACCACCTGGGAACCTGAGGCAGGATGTGAGAGCAAGAGCAGAGGGAAGCTGGCCTGTTCTCAGGTGCCCACAGAGTCGCTGCCAACAAGGAAGTGGACTCAGAACAGAATCTGGGAGACAAACCGAGCCCTGCCTTCCTCTCCTCCCTTCCCATCCGCTCTTGCACCTTCTTTTCCTCTGGCCAGCAACACTCCCACCTTTCCCCGTTTATCCCCTGCTCATTCTTCTGCCATGCCGCCTCCTCCAGGAAGGTCTCCCGGATCTCCGGGGAGGTCTGGTTGTCCCTCTCCTCCAACTAAAAATGATCAAAGCTAACCTGTACTGAACTCTTACTACGCGCCCGACTTTGGGCTAACCTCCCTAATGACACCATCTCATAAGGACATACGAAGTGGTAATACTGTCATCCCATTTCACAGTTCAAAGTCACTGAGGCACAGAAAACCTAAGATGCAGAACCAAGATCTGAACCTTAACTGCTGTGCTTCCTCCTGAGCCCTGAGGTCAGGGACCCTGTTGCTGGTCCCCACCACCAGGTGTGGAGCCTGTCACCGAGAAGCAGGTTGAAGAAACGAGAGGCCACCGGGAGGCGAGCCGGCAGACTCGGTCCCCTCCTGCTTGGCTCCCCCACAGCTGATCCTCTGGCCCTGGAAGGTGGGGCCCAGATCTCCCTCCACTGCTGTTCAGAGCAGCCCAGACCCCAGCATCTTGGGAAGGAGCAACAGAACAGGCCTTGCTGGGAAGCACGGTTTACTGGGCTGGCTGCAGGCCACAGGACAGTCTGGGTACACCAGGCCACGGCGGTGGCACTCCCCGGGGGAGGCGCACAATGAGGTAGGTGAGCGAGGGGCAGCTGCACTGCCTTTTCAGGGGTGAGGTCCCCGCTGCAGCCCCTCCACCAAAGCTCCCAGGGCAGCTGCCTCAGGCCCTGGGGGATGAGCTCCCAGTGGGAGGGGCAGGCTGGCCCTTGGGGCCGTCTGGCTCCTGGAAGAGTCAGCCCAGGAGGCGTGGGGGTAGGCAGGTGGGTCAGGAGGACCGGGCCCCCCGACCCTGGCTTCCTCCACAGCCTCGTCCAGGGTCCTCGGCCTGACTGCCCCACACCTCTCTCTTCCTGAGTGGTAGCAGGTGGGTCAGGAGGACCGGCCCCCCGACCCTGGCTTCCTCCACAGCCTCGTCCAGGGTCCTTGGCACTGACTGCCCACACCTCTCTCTTCCTGAGTGGTAGCTGGAGGTCCTGGTCATCTGGGTTGGCCTGGGTCCTGGTCAGCCGGGGAGGAGGGGCTGGTGCTCTGAGGACGTGGCGGCGTTCCTGTACACCAGGAACTGTATGGAGATCTGGAGGGGTCGACGTCAAGGCCTGACCAAGCACAGACTGGGCTGGGCCTGCCCCTGGGGACCTGTGGCTCCATCCAGAGCTCCCTCCTCCCTCCCTCTCAGCCCCACTCTGGCTGGCGGAAGGGCCAGCAATGACCTCCCAGCTTCTGCTCTCACTGCACCTTCCACTCTGAATGCCCTCCCACCCTTCAACCAACTTCCTCCTCCAGGTCCAGCGCCAGGGTCTTCCTCCCTCAGGCAGTCCTCCCTGACTCCAGCCCCAGGAGCTTGCCTTCCTCCCCCCCTACACCATCCTGGGAGTTTCACCCAGTGGCTGGGGCCATCTGAAGGCACTAAGAGCTTACACTTGGCTTTTGTTGACATTCAGTATTATTTTATATTAGCTCCAGGTGAGGTAAACGTCTCTCATGGCAGCCAGCAGGGACTCGGCAGATGTGCAAACAAGGGCCATGCTTACTTTCTGCCAAATGCGATCCAAACAAGGCCCCGTTCCGCTGTTCAGCAAACATTTACTGAGCACTCGCTGTGCTGGGCCCCGCAGCCTTCCGGACACCTTGCCTTACGTAATCGCCCCTGATCTCGGCGAGACAGTGACTGTCACCTCCCCATGCAGATGCAGATACGGAAGCACAGAGAGGTTACGGTTTCCCCATGTCACACAGCTATGGAGGAACAGAGCCAGAACTTGACCGTTACTGTGACAAACTCACGTGTCTCCACGTTCCAGCTTGCGCTCCCCAGGCCCGCATGGCCCGATCTCCCCGTTCCTCGCGGCCTTCGCACAAACTGAGCTGGGCACATCCCTCTTGCCTTTGCCCGACTAACCTCTCCTTCAGGGCAGTTTAAATGGCACCTGGGAGGCCTCTGCGGAGCCTTTAAACCAGGGCAGCCCCTGGTCACACACTCTTGCAGTTTTTCTCTGGGGCCCTCAGTGTCAATGCAACGAAGTAATGACTTCTAATCAGTGTATCCTGTCTGCCTCCCAGAGCTGGAAGCTCCCGGGGGCAAGGCCACCCAGTTCTTGCTCACGACTGGGCCAGTGCCTGGTGGGGTGCATGGCAGACAGCGGGGTGTATCTGGGTGGATGGGTGGATGTGGAAGCCCCGAGCAGGCAGGGGCTGCCGTGCCCACCTCGCCCTGCCCCGCCTGCCCTGCACGCCCTGAAGGATACGATGGCGTCGAGCAGCAGCACGCCCAGGCTGCCCACGAGCCAGGGCAGGTGGTGCAGCAGGTAGCTGCCCTCGCTCTGGCCCTCCTCGGGGTTCTTGAGCAGCACACTCAGCCCGTACAGCGTGTTCCCCAGCATCACCAAGGCGAACAGCGAGTAGGAGATCCCCTGGGTCGACTTCCGCAGGAACTGGAGGTGAGGGGGTTGGGGTCAGAGACCTCAAACAGGGCTCCTGTCACCCTGGGTTGTGACTGCCCATGTATCCATCTGCCCCGTCACAGTGTGCGTGTAGTCAAAATCTGACTTTACACTGTGCCCAGTGTCCGACACCGACAACCCGCTCCAGGGCCCGACGCCTCATCCTCACTCCTGCCACCTCTCCAGGCCCCTGCCCAGGTCCACAAGAGACTATGGCTGCTGCCATGACGCCCTGCTCTCCAGCCCCACGCTGACTCTCGTTGCCTCTGCCCACCCATCCCTGATTCTCCACCTTCTCTCCTCTCAGGCCTCTAAGCGCAGCCCCTCGCTGTCACCTGACTTCCTACTTGAGAGTCACACAGGTCACACGGATGCCTGGATGGCAGGCATCATCATGCCCGTTTTCCAGAGGCACAAACCGAGGCTTGGAGAATTGGATTAAGTTGTCCAAGCCAACAGTGAGTGTAGACCCAGACCTTCTGCTCTGTGCTACTCCTGAACCCAGAGGCCTGCGCTGCCAGGCCGGCTCTTCGCTTCCACTCGGCCCCACCCCGCTCAACGCTCACGTTGGTGTGGATCTGAGGCAGCCGGGAGAACAGGTACAGTACGCTGGAGATGGAGCCGATGACAAAACCAATGATCTCCTGCCGAGTGAAGGGCTGAGAAAGCAGAAGGGAGTGCTCAGTGCCTGGCAGGGAGATCCCCAAGCTCCCTCCTAGGGGGCAACCCCCGCCCAGGTGGCCCTGCAGGGAGGGCCCTTGAGGCCAGCCTCCCCCCTCCGCCCTACCACTCCGTACCCACACCTCACCTTATTGCCCGGCTCCACAGACAGGAGCTTCCGGCCCTGGAAGACCTCCCTTGGGGCAGCCATAGAGGCAGTGCTGCTCAGCAGTGGGGTGATACACACCAGTCCCAGGGTGAACAAGAGCAAGGAGTTGATGGGGGCAGACACTGGACATGAGGCAGGAGGGAAGCCGAAGTTAGATATCTGAGTGGCTGCAAACGGATCGGAGTCATGGCCTTGCCCCTTGGTGGCTGTGTGACCTTGGGCAAGTGACCTAACCCCTCTGAGCTTTAATTCCTCATCTGTAGAATGGGCGCAATAACACTATCCTTCCCCTGGAGTTGTAAAATTAATACAATGACAGCAGTAGGGTCTAAGGGGGTGGGGGGGTTATCAAAAGCAGTGCCTCGGGCCACATCTCACAGCCCTCGCTCTGACCTCAGAGGCAGCGATGGCCTGTGAGCCCTGTGCCTGTTTCCCCGGCTCCAAGCCCAGGGCCAGGCACAGAGGAGAAGCTGAAGCCATGTTTGTTGAATAGGAGTTTGAGTGAAGGGAAGCCCTGTGGTCCTGCCGGATGTGCTCATTGCCCTTGGCCCCTATCTTGGCCGATCAGGGCTCGGGCTTTCAGATAAGGCCTGAGGAAGCCTTTGGGAGGGTTATCACCCGGCAATAGGACAGCTGCTTCCTCTCACACTCCCGGCTGCCCCTAGCGTGCCCGACATGGAGGGGCCACAATACTCACACGGAGAGGGGCGATTCTTAAACTTGTAGTGAAAGTAAAGGGACAGCATCACCAGGTCTGCCAGGACGTAGTACACCGCTGTGTAGGTCTGCAAGAGAAGCAGGGGCGCGGGCTCAGTCCCAGGCTCTGGGGACCGCACCCCGACACTGGGCAGCACTCTCACACCCCAGCCGGGTGACCCTGAGCAAGTCGCGTCACCTCCCTGAGCTCTGGCTGCTCACCTGGAAAGCGGGAGTGCAGTTCCTACCTGGCACAACTAGAGAGCAGGTGGCTAAGTGTGGGACCCGGGCAGATGGAGGGACGGGGGGCTAGCTCCCCTTGTCAGGACAAAGTGATGGCTCCTGGGCCTCTCCGGGGAAAACTTTCCTCCTCCAGCCCCACCCCCCACCCCCAGCTCCATCAGGATCAGAGCGCCCCAGAGGTCCAAGGCTCTGGTGATCCTCTGGTTTGATGTGGTCATTTTACAGATGGGGAAACTGAGGCCCAGAGAAGGACAGTGACCAGCCCATTGCCATACTGCATGGCAGGGCCCAGGGCTGTCTCTGCAGCACGGGGCCCTCATAAGATGGAACAACAGGTCAGGATTCTGGAGCCCGGGCCTCTCCTGTGGGTGCCCCCAACGCCTCTGCCCTGCTATCTTAGGCAGCCCACCCTGCCCGGGGCCGGCCCACCTGCAGGGGCAGCTGGTCAGCAAGGAAAGAGCCGATGAGGTTGCAGGAGTCTCCACCAATCCAGCCCAGGAGAAACCACAGGGACAGGGCCTGGTCCATGTTGCCCGTCTTGCAGGCCTTGATGTACTGCCTGTAGCAGAGGAGACGCATGCTCAGGGGCTGAGGGCTGTGACATCGCCTCGGAGGGTCAACCAGGGAACGGCCCCCAGATGAGACCCCCACAGGGTGTGGGGCAGGGGCGGCAGAGGCAAAGGTCACTGGGAGCCCCGTTTTGCCCACTGGGGGTTTTTACTGGGGAGAATCCCTGCCCACCCAGGAACTCGATGGGATGTGCATCAGACCATGGCATTACTCACTCTCCTCCAAGCACCCTGGGGAACTAGAATCTTTCTTCTACGAAGGGGGTAGGGAGTTTGGAAAAAGGATGGTGGTGGTGGCAGCAAGCCCATGGCCCAGGCACGGCCGCTGCCCTATCTCCAGGATGGGCGGCGATAAGATGATGGGCAACCACAGCCGCTATCTTCCAGGGGCAGGGCTGTGGCTCCTGCTCTCCAGTACAAACGCCCGGGCAGTCAGCACCTTGGCTCTTTCCCAGGGGTCCCTGGGACTGCGACCCTTTCTTTGGACCTCTGGCCGGGTATCAGGCACGGCTCTGAGCCCTTCGTGTGTACAGACTCACTCGGTCCTCACAGTCCCCCACATCCAGGCGTATTTTGAGGACCCTCCTCACTGCGGGCTGAGGAGGTACACAGCTGGGAGTCTGGGAGTAGGATTCACACCCAGACCCCAGGGCTCCCGTCTCGCTCCACTGGGACGGCTTTCTCTTTTGAGCTCTTCGTTTGCAGATGGCTCGCCCACCTCCTTATCTGTCACTGCTCAGGACATGGTTCCTCTTCAGGGCCTTCCTTGGCCTGAGCTCGCCAGCACCCTTGTGACACGTGGCACCCTGGTGCCTCCTGGACTCAAGCTTCCTGAGGGCGAGGACAGGGCCCAGCACAGGCCTGGCTGAGAAGGCCCTTAATTAAGGTTTATGCCGTGTCCCGTTTAGCTCCTTCAGGATACTGTGACCTGACCTATGTCCAGAAATTGCAGATCACACCCAGGATAGGCCAGGGCCTAAGGAGGAGCAGGAAGGTGGCTGCCCTTCCTGCCGTCACTTGGGGCTCCCCCAGGCCTTCGACCCCCCTCAGTGGATAATCAGCCAGACCCAGGCAGGGCCAGCGCTACGCCAGGGCCGGAAGGGGAAGCCTCAGCCAGCTCCTCTGATAGTTCTGGGGAAGCTCCGTCCTCACAACAGGGAGTCTCTCTCCCTCGGCCTCCATCCATCACCCAGACCTGTCCACTCTGCCTCCTGAGGGCCTCTCCAGTGGGCCCTGACATCACCGCTTGCTGAAGGCCTACTCCCCCAGCCCTCCCCTCTGATTACCAGGGTGTCTTCTAAAGGGAAGCCCTGCAAAGACCAGGGCAGTCTCTACTTTATTTTCTTGTGTCATACCTAGTGCAGGACTTCTGTGCTTCAAAGGACACCAAGAAAGTGAAAAGACAAACCACAGAATGGGAGAAAATATTTGCAAGTCACAGGAAAGTGGATGGAAAAGGGGTTCTACGGAAAGTAACCTGACAGGGTGATCTGATCATAGTCCTTTAACTGGGCAGGTCATGATGGGTGTCATGCACCAGGCATATGAATTCTTAAGTAAAAAGTTTATCTTTGCCTGAAGCAAGCCCTGTGTGTGTGTGTGTGTGTGTGTGTGTGTGTGTGTGTGTGTGTATACGGTAGGTTAACATACCTTTGAAATAACCACCCTCATCAGAGCACAATCTTGTTAACCACTCTGTATTCCAATCCCTGGGGCTTGCTTTCTCCCACCTTCTTATACTCTTCCTTACACCCCCCCTTAATTTCAGATGCTTAAAAAACCCCGAAAAACTGCCATTCTGCGGAGCATCTGAGATCTTGTTTCCCAGCAATTATCATCAGTTTGGCTCAATAAACTCCTATAAAAATTCTCTACAGGTTTGGACATTCTTATGTCGACATAGACTATATAAAGAACTCTTACAACTCAGCAATAAAAAGACAAAAATCCAATGATAAATGGGCAAAGGAGCTGAACAGACCTCTTACCAAAGAAGACATACAGCTGCCAATAAGACAGGAAAGCCACTTAACATCACCAGCCACCAGGAAAATACAAATCAAAACTACCACTTCCCACCCACTGGGGTGGCTACAATAGATCGGAAATACCAAGTGTGGATGAGGACTTGGAGAAATTGGAACCTTCGTGCACTGCTGGTGGGATATGAAATGGCGTGACGGCTTTGGAAAGTAGCCTGGTAGTTCTCAAGGGATTAACCCACTGGGGTGGCTACAATAGATCGGAAATACCAAGTGTGGATGAGGATTTGGAGAAATTGGAACCTTCGTGCACTGCTGGTGGGACAATGAAATGGTGTGACGGCCTTGGAAAGTAGCCTGGCAGTTCTCAAGGGATTGAACCCGGTCCTGCCACCCTGGCGCTACTCACGGGAAAGTGGACGCTGCGAAGCAGAGAATGGAGATCAAGCCCAGGCCCACACTGGCCTCGTCCCAGCCGTCCTGGGCACATTCACCAAACACGTCCCATATCCACTGGGAGCCATTGGGGCAGCTGGAGAAGTTGCCGGAGCCCAGTTTCTTCCAGACCATGCTGCGAGGGCGGGAGGGAGGGTGCTGGTGCGCTGAGGCAGGCGAGGGCTCTACCGGGAGAAAGAGAGGGGGCTTTAGCCTTGGAAGGTTGGGGTGCTGGTCATGGTGCCCCCAACCTAAGCCCATCCCAGCTTATCACCTGGCACCGACTGAGCCCCTGGACCACAGGACACAATCAGCCTAAGCCCATGGTCAGCAAACCGACCAAAATACCACGTGCGGGCGCGCACGTACAGTGCGATTGAAACTTCGTGGCCCATGCGCAGAAGTCGGTATTTTGTGGAAGAGCCACACTCAAGGGGCCAAAGAGCCGCATGTGGCTCGTGAGCCCGGGTTTGCCGACCCACAGTTTGCTGACCACTGGCCTAAGCAAACCCGAGTCAACCACGTGTGCAGGGAGCGCTGGACCTACAGGCAGGGCAAGTGCCTTCGCATCCCACCGTCACCCTCACTAATGCTGCAATTGGCCTCAGTTCCCTCAGCTGTAAACTGGGGCGATAACAGTGTCTCCCTCATACATTGTGAGGCCCACTGAGCTCATAAATACAGTGTGGAGAGCCCAGCCCCCCAATATGTGACTTTGGTTGTAACTCTTGAATGTTCAGATTGTTTCCAATCTTCTATTGTAAATTACGCTGTGAGGGTCTGATGAAACCGGGCCCATGGACTAGGCATTGGTCTGCGGGCGAAATGAAAGGGGTTTCTATGGAAAGTAACCTCACAGGATGATCTGATCATAAATTCCTAACTGGGCAGGTCACAGTGGGCAGGTACTCAGCCCAGGCATATAACTTCTTTAGTGAAAGGTTTTAAGCCCTGTCCATTGTTTTTGGGTTAAAGCACCACTGAAATGTCGGAAGTAATACCCCTCCAGACATAACCACCCTCAAGAAAGCACATCCTATATCATAAAAGGCTAATATGCAAATCGACTGAACAGCAGAATGACCAGTCACTATGACACACACTGACCACCAGGGGGCAGATGCTCAACACAAGAGCTGCCCCTTGGTGGTCAGTGCGTTCCCACAGGGGGAGCTCTGCTCAGCCAGAAGCCCTGAGCCGGGCGAGCGCAGCAGCGGTGGTGGGAGCCTCTCCTGCCTCCATGGCAGCCCTAAGGCAACCCGAGGTTCTGCCAGACTGCGAGAGGGTGCAGGCCGGGCTGAGGGACCTCCCCCGGGCAGCACACGGATTTTGTGCACTGGGCCTCTAGGAATCCTATAATCTACTTTCTCCCCTCCTCAAGTAATCTTCCCTACCTTCCCTCCTTAATCTCCAATGCATAAAACAAGCTGCCAAACTGTCCTTCTCCAGAGCGTTTGAGCTCTTGCTCTCAGGCACATGTTGTCAGTTTGGTTCAAGTAAACGCTTTAGAAACATTCTCTGCAGGCTGGCACATTTCTTCCATCACAAGTCAGATGAGGCAGGTGAACCCCGAGGTTGCACAGGTGGCTGGGATGCAAGCCATCTTCTCCCAGGAGCTCACCTGTGCGGAATGCCTGCTGGCAAGGCGCCCATGCCACCTCCCCATTCTCACCACTGCCAATGCCAGAAGATGGCTGGCTCCGGGGCTGGCCCCTCCCGGTGCCTGGGTACCCTGCACAGTGACGAGAGCAGTCCCTGCTTATGTGACAACCCCAGGGAAAGGGGAGCAGGCGGAGCCAGGTGGCGCTATCCCCACCAGGGAGAGTCATCACAGCCCCATTGCTGAGCTCTTTGCCAGCTCTGTGCTGATGACCTGCCTGCATATATGCATCTTGTCCTCCTAGCAGCTCTATGAAGTAGAGGAGCCAGGGAAGTGCCCTGCCAGGGCCTCCCAGCCAGGAAGTGGCAGAGCCATGAATCAAAGCCAGGAGGAGCAGGACCCAAACCCCTGCTCAGAGCCACCGTGCCACACAGCCTCAGGCGCTCTGTCCCTGGGCGGGGCGGAACCGGCCTGTGGCCTGGCTTCCCTGCCCGCTTCTGCGCAGACGCAAGGCAGGCTTCCCCTTTTCTCCCTGCGGGGAGGGGTTTTCCTCCGGAGTGGGCGCAAGGCTCCTCCAGCTCCCTCTAGTTCCTAGTCCTGTCAGGAGGCCTGGGATCCTCCTCAAGCGATGCCCCGTGCCACAGACTGAACATTGATGTCTTCCAAAATTCAACCGACCCCTCAGTGTGATGGCATTAAGAGGTGGGGCCTTTGGGAAGTGCTCAGGTCAGGAGGGCGGAGCCCTTATGAATGGGATTACTGCCTTCTGAGAGAGAGGAGAGAACTCTCTCTTCCTCTCTGCCATGTGAGGACACAGTGAGAAGACAGCCATCTATGACTGGGGAGCGGACCCTCAACAGACATTGGATCTGCTGGCACCAAACGGACCTGAGTTGTTATAAGCCACGGCAGCCCCAATGGACTAAGTCATCGGGACTGGACCCTGGAACTGCTGAGGTCACAGCTGAGAAGGCAAAGGAAGCGAGTCAGCTTCTCTGCTCAGGAAGCTCTAGGCTCTCAGCCCTAATGGGACCAGCAGTGGGCAGAGGCCCCGGAGCCGGGACAGGGGCACCCAGGCCACTGTCTGCCCGGCTCACTGCAGCATCGCCAGGGCCCAGCGGGCATGGCTGAAAGCCTCTTCCCGTGCCCTGGTGACCCACCTGGGTGACCTGTAGCACAGCTGATGTTGCTGGCGTTTCCCTGATGTCCTCCCCCAGCACCAAAGGCATTTCAAATCAAGTCCTTTTGCTCCCCGGCCACCCCGAATTGGACTGCCCCACCCTCCTCTTATAGATCCCAAACGTGCCATTGCTGTTCATCACACATTAGGACATTGCCATCCTCGGCACTTGCCTGAGAGGTGGGGAGTGCTGTCCCCATTTAAGGGCGAGTGGCTTTGGACAAGCACGTAACCTGTCCGAGCCTGTTCAGAACAGGAGGATAAAAGCCTCCCTCCTTGGGCTGTTGTGCAGATGAAATGCACATACAGGCTAAGCCAGGGCCTGACAGTGCTGATGGTGACTGTTCTGTGGGTGAGAGTCCAGTATCTCAGCGACCCTGAGGCCACTCTCACTCCCTCTTCTCATCAGGTTGGGAAGAAATGAGGTGGACACATGCCCAGTGAGGGAGGTAGGTGTCCTGAGGAATGTACCCTGGCTCACAGGGCCCAGGGCATAGGTGGGTGGTCCCCAGTCCATGCGCAAGAGCCCTGAACAGAAAGGGCCTTCCTCTGAGGACCGCTGTGCAGAGGGCCTGTCACCCATAGGTTCTGACTCAAGTAGGGAACCAGTGTGGCCCAGGCCTGGCTTGTGGAAACGGGCCCACCTAGTCAGGCAGCACCGAGGGAACGGATGTGCAGAGTTGCAACCAAGCTTGACGGCATTCGTAGGATTGACAAGGACCACAGCTGGGGTGCCTTAGGATCAAGGAGGGCACATGTTCGAAATTCAGGATCACTACGTCTGGGTTGGGGATCAGGGACCTTGGGTTTAAGAGGCTCCCCTGGCTGATTCTGATGCCCGTGGCCACAGAGGAAGGCTGCGCTGGAGAAGGCATCTCCTGCCACACCCCGCTCCTCTCCCAGCTCGTAGCTGAGTCAAGGAAATGCTTTCCACTGAAGCTGCTCAAGGGACCTTCACCTACCAGATCAAGTCCACATCCCAAGGTACTTTGAGAACTGCCCTCCCCTTATCTCCTGCCGCGTGCCCAGGTCTTCAATAGTCATTCTCCAGGCTTATTTCTGCACATGCTGTCCCATCCCCTAGGGCTGTCCTCCCCATGAAGGGCCTGGTAGGGATACTAAGATCAGGCTATCAATTGTCCTCTCCAAGGGCTGGCTGGACAACACCCGCCACCTCTTCCTCTCCCCTCACCCACAAACCTGCAGAATGCTTCCGACACTCCTCAACGATCATGACTCTTTAAGCCCATTCCTCCCCTCCGACCTAACTGTAAATTTAGGAGTCCACACACCCCAGCTGCGCAGTCAAAATATGGAGAGAGGATGGGAGGAAGAGAAACAAGAAAAGATCTTGTTACGACCTCAGATGGCCTAAGGATGAGGAGAAGGCACTCCACTCTAGAACTGACCGGCCCGATGCCTACAATACAGAACTCTTGGGCAGGTGATGCAGCCTTAGAGTTCCAACCTGAGAACCTGGAACATGCAAGTACCCACCTCCCTGGCTGCCTGCACAGTTACATGGGATAACCCAGGCCACGCGGGGAGAACGGTGCCTGGCACCGGTTAAACACTCAGTGGTAATAGCCATGGATGGTGACTATCATTCCGTTCTGGCTGCAGTGCTCACCCAAGCCCCCTACAGGGCCCCTGGCACACGGCAGCTTCAGCAAGGGCTGAATGGACAAGACTGGCGCCAACCCTCACACTTTCAAATCCAGCCTCCCACGTACACACTCCAAAACCTGCCCTGGGCATGGGGTGGGAAGCGCGCAATCAGTGCTCCCTGCAGACCTGGGGAGTACGCAGAGGGGAGGAGCGTCCCGGCCGTGGATACCACCCACTCCAGGCCTCCTGGTTCTGGGCCAACTCGTGACTCAGCCCAGCGCTGGCCGCCTGTTTGGCGGGGATAATGACAGGGCAGCCGCTGGGGTCAGCGCTCCATCGCCGCGAGGCCCCCTCCCCTGGCCCGCCCAGGGGAAAACGAAGCCATCAGAATCCGGGACCCAGACCCCAAACCCTGGCCAGGCCCGTCCGAGAGGCCACGCTGGTCGCCCCAAAGGAGGGGGACACGGCCCCCGAGGGCCACCCAATGCCGGCTGAGGTCCTCACCTGGGATCTTGCGCTCCAAAGGAGAGGACGGGGGCTCCAGCGGCTGGAGGGGGCGCCGTGAAGATGTGGCAGGGAGGCACCAGAGCCTCGACCCGCAGCCTTCGTCCCTGCCCCCGGCCCCAAACCGGCTCAC